TACACAAGCAATGCTATATATATATATTTGTCGGTTCATTCTTTATTTTTATTAGTATCATCATTATGCTCAGCTTTACTGTTAAATATCTTTAGAGTTATATTTTAAGCTAAATTACTTATATCAATTTCTAACTATGTAGAGTTTGACGTGACCTTTGTTTTTCTTTATTACACTTCTTGTGATTTATTTTGTTAGTGGTTCTATTAACTATAAGAATTAAAGAGGATTGAAAGATTTTGTTTAAATATTTGTGTAGCTTTTATACAATCATAGGAGAGCTTTTAGTAAGAAACATATAAAATCAGCGAATAATAGTTACACTAGTCCACAGCTAATGAGTAGCTAGAATAATGATTATAGAGTTAATTATCACAGCATAAATGGCGAATGGAAAATTATAATCCCATATATTAATGATCTGTCAAGAGAAGAGTAAGAAAATAGGGTGGAAGTCTTGATTAGTGTGTCTTAGCTAGTGTGAATAATGCGGACGCTTTACATTCCTTTTAAGCACATGAATGGATGTCATCTTTCCTTAGGCTACAATCATAAAAATGGGCGAAAAAAAAAACAAATAGAAATGCAGCAGTGAATGTTTTGCAAGTTCCAAGCAACACATAGATGATGACTACAACTTATGGAATATCGAGAAAAATTCTCAGGCTTTGATTCCATTACAAGAGTTGGAGATAGTTGGCTAAATATTTTGTTTTGTATTTATACAATCCTAGGAGAGCTTCTTATAGGAAATATATAAAATCCTAGTTAAAATTGAGAATCACGATAGATTTTATGCTAATTATTGCCTCTTTTGGTATAAGGAACATTAATTCTTCTATCAATTAGAGAACCCACACTTTAAACACTTTACTTGGAATCAATTACATGTTGCGGAAAATAATCATCATTTTGTATACCAGTGGGCAGAGCTTGTAGTATTTTGTCAAGAAAAAAAATATTTCAAGGAGAGAATTATTAGTAATAACTTTTGTTGTAGATGAAGACATGAAGTGATATATACAAAGGGGCTGATAGGAGTAGGGTCATCAACAATTCTCTTGAGGAGAAATTGAGCTAGGCCTTAGGTTTTGTGATTATATCCAAACAAAAGGGGGTTGATCTTTTTCACCAAAAGATCAATCGGTGGATGGTCTTGTAACTAAAATTTAGAATTTTGAAGCTCGAGATGAGCCTGGAAGTAATCCAAATATTTATGTCAATAAATATTGTAAAATGAGCAATATAAAGGAATGCTTTTAGTTCACACATAATGTCAATATCTGAATAATGAAGACTCAATCAATCCACATATTCTTATGAAATAGGATGATGACGTCCATTTTCAATAATATTTTACTCACAAAGGTCCGGCATCATGAGCTATTGCAGTATCCATTTATATAGTTTTTTTAAAGATTGATGCCAAGAAGAATAATGTAAATTGATTAAAATAATGTAACAGAAGTCACTAAAATTAAATCCAAACTTGAGTGACTATAGGCAAAATGAAACAATCAAATTGTGGGGACCATTTAGCAGGCGCATTGGAAACCCATTATTATAGTAGGACCATCTTGAGAAGTCTGATATAATCTGATTCTACGAAAAGCTTTATGGGCATGTCGATGATCAATGGACCCAAAAAATAACCTAGCAATTGTAAATGATACACAAACTTGTGAATTAGTTTTATGGTAGATTGACCAAAAAAAAAATGGTGATAAGTGATAGATTAAGGGGCCCTATCAAGTGAGGAATCTCCTCATTAGAAAAGATGAGAGCAGGTTTGCCTGAGAAGATGAAGTCGGTTTATGTTAAACATTTGAATTCAGATAAAATATCAGCGAAGGGATAGTGAATGGAGGGGCAAACATTCTTAACATTGGAACCACGAACAACCATTGCAAAAGAGCACGACTTTGAGGCGTAGAAGGCTTAACCACCAAGAAGGAAGGTATTTGAGCAGTTTCTAAAACATTTACAAAGGAAGGAAGTGGCCACCGCACTGATGGGTCAACCAAGGCCTTAGGGGAAACCATTGTAGGAGTAAGTTTGCGAAGATTCTCTAATGAGATCGTGTGTCTGAAGATCATTCAATAGAGATTAACAAAAGAGAACATACATAACCACAAACATTTGAGAGAGCAATAATGTATTGTCGGCAAAAGTGAAAAGGATGACCCGATGAGAGTTGCCTTAGGAGCAAAAAAGGCAGTTGGCTACCATTAGTAGGTGTCGTCGTTAGAAGACCTAAAGAAGCTGACCCCACACCAAATTTGGACGGTAAGTAGTATGTTGTGCGAAGTCGTTGCCAAGTATGAAATTGGTTTGGGGCCACCGACAGAGTATGGAAGTAGAAAGGAAGAGCTTGGGCATTTGTGAACTTGTGAGGCCCTATCCGAACACGAGGCCATGATCGACAACATGGGCGACGATGAATATGCATGCTAGAGCACAATCGAGGTTCATGATGATAAGCGCACACAATCAAAAACTTTTTGAGAAGTTGTTATGTGACTAGGGTTAGACCTTATTGGTTTTTGTTGGAGGTTAAAGGTTTTTTTTTTTTTTTTTTTCAAGGATTTCTTCTATAGAATGTCATGCTCCCGCTGACTCCTCCAGTGTCAAATAGTGGTGTAGTAAAGGAGAAAGACTCAATTTTACTTAATTTCCACCAACTCTCACCCTGAAGTGCATAAATCATGATCAAATGGTGGAGGATTGATCACACTAAATTATCGCAAACAAATACATACACTACAATTCATCCATTATTTATTCATATTGAATGCATATGAAAGTATGCATAATTAGTTCACAAATAATCTACAAACTACTAAACACCAAATGATAAAATATATGTACCCCTAAAAGTTTTCATGAATAATATAAAAACTACTAAACACTGTCTATTATGGTCAACCAGAGAGGAAGAGCTTGGGCATCTACGAACTTGTGAGGCCTTATCCCATTACGAATCCATGATTGACAACATGGGCGACGATGAATGTGCATGCTAGAGCACAATCGAGGTTCATGACGATAAGCATACGTTCAAAAAAATTTTGAGCAGTTGTGTGACTAGAGTTAGATCTTGTTGGTTTTGGTTGGAGGCTAGAGGGTTTTTTTTTTGAGTTTCAAGGATTTTTTCTGTAGAATGTCACGCCTCAACTGGCTCCTTCAGGATTAAACAGTGGTGTAGCAGAGGAGAACGACTCAATAAGACTTTTTCCACCAACACTCGTCCTGAAGTGCATAATCATGATCAAGTGGGTGGAGGTATTTTTGAAGCTAGTCTCAAGCTTGAATTGAATATAAACAACTTATGATTCAACCAAATCAAGTCAAACCATGGCTTACTCGACCTAACTCGAGTCAATCACAACCCTAGTATGGAGACCTCTTACCACTGAACTCTATAATAACTTCATCCAGTCAACAATTTCCACCTAATAGGCATGTAGTAGAATTACAATCGCTAGATGGAAGGAGTGATAAAGGAATAATATATTGTGTTCGTGCCTAGCCTAAGGGCAATTTTGTCTTTTATTAGCATATGGACAATTTTGTCTTTTATTATTAATTATTGCTCGATATAAATAGGGCTTAATAGTTTAGGGTTAGTGTTCTGCATGAGATTGAGTCATGAGTCTTGTGGTTAGGATTTGGGAGAGATCGTCAATTTCTTGAATTGTAGGTGCTTATTTTTATGTTTGGTGTTGTATTACTTTGATTTTGGTG